AAGCCTGGCATGCGGGTCCTAGGTAGCTAAGGTAGCATACCAGACATGAGTAGTGGTATTGATTCTCCGCCCCTATCAGCAGTAAGTGAATTCGGAAAGTCAAGCTATTTCATTTTATACTTAGTTCCATTTTGCTTAACCAGGGTGCAATTATGACACAATTTTTAAGCTAGTTGGGTTTGAATATGATTTAGGGCTCTGGCCTGCACAGTGTTTTCAGCTGCCAGTCACTTTCTCAATCAAAAATGTTTCAGTGTTCATTCAGTACAAGTTGAAGCCGTATCATACTGCTCTTTCTTTAGTCAACAACAGCAGCTCCTGGATTCAAAGTGCTGAGAGACAGCAAAGTTAGAACTGTTGGAATTATCACAGTGGAGGCAGTCTGTTGGTCTACTACTGTTCTGCTTGAGAAATACAACACGTGTGTGAGACATGCTGTATGTCTGTGTATCGATAGATAGAAAAAGGTATAAACAATTCTTTCCCTTACCTTGAGCATGTCTCCCTTGTTGAAACTGAGTTCATCGCCCTCTGTGGCACGAAATGTATAAAGTGCCACAGCTTCCATGCCGAAACCCCCTAACACACACTCTCACACTCACACAACAACACACCACACCACACACCGGGACCCCCTAATGCCCGGCAACAGAGGGGGGACATGGAGGGGAGGTAGCAAAGTGCAAAAAGAGAACGATAGGGAAAAAAGAAAAGATAAAGGATTCAGTGAGATAACAGACTGGCGGAGAGGAAGAGGAGCAAGAGAGGAGAGGTCTCGTCTGTCCGCTGAGCCAGAGCGCAAGAGAGTCAGAGCAGAGGATAAGAGAGAGAGAGCGCGGTGAGGGGAAAAACACGACTGGCTGCTGCTCAGCAACACACCACCATGAGTAACGCTCAGAGAGAGAGAGAGAGAGCAAGTAGGGGCAAGGGAGTGGGAGGCACTTCCTGTGTATATATTTGTCTCACACAGTTGGTGTGGCTTCTGTGGATTCTGTGTGTGTGTGCGTGTGACTTTTTTCAATCAGTTACCTGTATATGTGTGTGCATCTCTGTGTGGTTTGTCTTTACACTTCTGCCATCGTGTGAACCTACTTTAGTTTCATCCCTTCCACGTAAGAAGTGAGCTCATGTTTGCTGTTCCTAATATATTGTCTTAAAGGTGAGAAGGTCACGAGGGGAGACGGAAAGGAATAATTCACCCAAAACTGTTCATATTCAGATTATTTATTGGCATAGATGAAACACCAGTGATGCCTTTGAGTTCGTAGTCATATAAAGTAGTTGTTGGGCCAGCAGCCATTACAAGGCCTTGATTTCCCCTTTGTTATACTGCCATGTTCTCTTTCCATCCCCCTATCCATATGTACATGTTGCTTTACTTTTTTGCAGTAGCTTTGGTTGCATTCAAGATTTACAATACATGCGGGATATAGTCTGGAATAGTGAAAGAGATGAACCTTTGCAAGTTAAAAAAATAAAGAATAAAGGATGGAGGACATGCTTATGGATGTGAGGCTGGCAGGAGCATCAGGTAGCTAATGATGGACAGATCGTCCATCCCAACTTACGTGACGACGAGTTGAATCCACTGTTGCAAAAAGTATAGTGGACGGTAGGAAAAAAAAAAAAAATGGTTTGCGAGGGAAGAGCTTTTCATTTCAATACCTGAGGGACACACTTATGATGAGAGAAAATCACACTGACACACTGTGGGTGTAACAAAAGCCTAAATGCGGCTCTATTTTTCCACCTGCAAGATTTAACCAAAAGAGAAAATCTTCTTGCAAGTCTGCAGGTTTGAGAGACAGTGAGGAGAATTATTGTTTAAATTTAGTTAAATTACTCTTCCAGTGAGGTAATGCTCAACTCGACTGAGCCGCTGAGACCAATGCGGATCAAAATAGACAAGAATAGACATTGATCTATTTATTGTCAAACTGCATTCAAGATAATTATACCACTAATTAACTCTAAGAAATCCGTTGTGTGTGTCTCCCAATGGGAGAAATCTGATGCTGAATTATAATCTACGCCCTACAGTGGGACTCCTGTTAAGCCCTTGCGTTGATCCATAATAAATCAGAGTTTAGTGTCACTTATTTTTCTCAGATGTTGTGAATTAGCCCAGGAAGCCACTGATGCTCAGAACACGTGTGTATCAGTACTCTACATTACATATAACACTTTACAAGGTTACTTATTCTTTTTTGGGATAAGAAACAACAAGTTCAGCTCTTATTTATAAAGTCTAAATTTCCCAAACTCCACATTAAGGCCACAAGCTGTCATGGGATGTGAAAGCCTTCGCACTTTTTCCTTGTCAAAATATGTCATGAGAGATGCTGTCCGTATGCAGTTCAGAGTCATGAGTTATGTGATTTTATTTATTCATTGTGAAATCACCAGCGCAATACTTAAGTAATACCAAAAAACATGGGACATTCTTAGCTCATGGACACACAATTTACCACTTAAACATGTCACACGTGAGAAAGAGTGAAACATGTACCGAACTAAATGTAACTAGCAGAACAGCAGGAAAACATGGCCGACCTGTGGTTTCAATAGCGTGACCTGTCCAGGAAATCCCCAGTCAGCTGGTCACTTGACTCAGCCATGAGAGGAGGGACTGCAGGAGGAAGAGAGGAGGGCTGTGGGGTGATGGAAGAATATAAGAGGAAGAGCTGGAGAGGAAGTGGAACTGCCTTCAGCTCAAGGGCCAAAGTGCAGTCTTATCATTTATTTTGCCTCCTTCTTGTGTGTGATGATTTCCCGTGAGTTCCTGTGCATGATGGCATGTTGGGACATGTAGATTTTGTATGCTGTAAAGGAATATTAAATGTGAATAAATGTAAATATAGATTCAATTTCAGCATCAAAGCCATGTTTTCTAGAAATATGTAGTTCATTGCAACCTGATGATTTATTTAGCTTCTAAGTGTAAATTTGTGCTAATTGGGGATTGCTGGCACCTCCCAGCCTCACTTGCTTCACAAACAGTGTGGGCGGTACTTTTGTTGGATTTTCTGTTTGTCAAGTTGGATTTTCTGTAGGTGGTTCTGTTCTTTGTCTACTCTGCCACGGCGGTGTTCACTGTTCATACCCTTTTCTTCTGTTCGATTCATTCATCCGGTGCAATTACATCACTTCCTGTGTCCATTTCCAGTCAAGACAGCAAGACGGGATGTTTTTGAACGGCAAATGAGAACACTTTTCATGAAGTGAAGAATTTTTTATTTTTTTTTTTTACTTCAAAACCATGAGTGTTAACAGAATCCAGGGGCAGTCCTACAGTTGTGCTGGATTTGTGTTACCCACAACACACAAGCACATCTAGTACGCAAGCTGCGGTGTTTTTCTGCCTGAGTGACGCTAACATATCATCCTGTCAGGGGCACTGATGCAGAGGGCGTGAAATAAAGGTTTGTGTGTGTGTGCGGAAGCAAGTGGGCAAAGGCGGAAAGAGCAGGTGGGCAGAAAGTCTCTCAACTTCCTTTCAAGAAATAGTACAACACATTTCTCCTTCTGTTGGAGAAGAAGACGTTAGTTTTTTCTCACACTCTCTCTCTCTCTGCTTTTACTACGATTCACTGCAGAAGGGGCCTGCTTTTCGCTCCCCCGTCTCTCACTGGTTTTGCAAGGGATTCAGATTTAAAACATCTACACTTTTACCTCCTCCACTCTCACACATATGTTGAACAGTAGGCAACAGTGGCGCACAAAAATAAATAGGGCACCAGCTAAATGCAGAGCGGGGACCAGCATGCAAAAGGTCATGATGCATTTATGGTGGAACAGCTCCAAAATCTGGTTAAGATTAAACGTTTTTTATAATGTGACTTATATTTAAAGCATAACTACTATTCCTCTGTAATAAAACACACAGGGGACTATTAACTATAGAAACATTTAGAGGCATGTAGAGGCCCAACTAATTTTCTAGCATGTAGGCAATATAGGCTGGGTGAGATGGCACTTTCATTCATCACATAAGTTGGCTTAAAAGAGTTTTGTGAACTCAGTGAGAAACTTGGATTTCCTCCAACACCGAGCAGATGGAGTGATCAAATTTCTGTTGCCCATGCCCACTTTTCTGTTTATGTTTGAGGTTGTTTGAGTGACGTGTTATCGTTGGGTCAGCATAACAAGGAGTAATTTCATTTTGAAATTGTGAAAAACTGATGCACTGTACATTGTAGAAACACAGAAAATATGTTATCGTGTTAAGGCTGTTGTGCCCGCCCTTGCAAAAGCATGCGGCACGTAAAAAATGAATTACTCACAGCATGCCTGTTAATTGGAATGTTTTTTTGTGGAAATATAATTGACCCCTTTCTGCATCAAAGTGCCTGCAGTCATATTGAAACCATGGTGTGTACAAAACTATGACAAATCCTGTAGCTGTGGTTCATTTTTTAACAAATTTTTTTTAATGTGTAAATTGTGTTTTTACTTTTATGGTTTATAATGAATTAAACATTTAAACAATCACATTTGGCACTAAGTTATGCAGAAAAAGCTGGCTATACTTAATTAATGTGGCTCTGTTATAGCTGAGTGAAAATTAACAGTGTGTATTATTAATGTTTCCTCTGTAACTGTTGGTTCAAATCACATCAGTTAGTTTTGTGGCGTATGGGATACTCGCTCGAGAGGCTGTTAACAACAGTGATGAGCTGAGAACTACAGCATTGTGTCTGCAAACAAAAAGCCCGACCGATTCCCTGAAGTCCCTGAATTATAGATCTGAAGGTGGAATTTTGTCTGTTTGGCGTGATCAAGTTATAAGAATAGGAAAGTAAATTAAGTCTCTAATGGTTGTTGAACTAAAAGGTTTAAGTTCAACTCACAGAGGTGAACTGGCGGCGGAGGGAGCTAAAAATGAGCGAACGTCAACTGTTCAAGCGGTTGGGCACTTTTTTCTTCTTGCTCAGCCTCTTCAGGTAGAATTTATACCAGCCACTAGCGAGCATAATACCAATTGCATGTGTGAAAAGATTTAGCTAATAATCTGGCAGGAGTGGAAGGTATTATACGTGATCCTGTTTCACGCTTTCTGTCTTCTTCTGTTTTTCTGCTGATTTCGGCTCCGTCTGAAAGCACGTGTTCCACTGCGGCCCAGAGACTGAATCCTGACCGTCTTTCCCCCACTTCCACGTTACATAACTTTGTAGGTTTCTAAACCAGTTATTCATGCGGCGAACGAACAGGCCTCTTTGTACATCTGTTAGCTTCACACATACTGCTGAAATATATTCTCATTAATATGACTCACATGTGTCGCTGCCTTTGTAACTGTGATTTACTGCACACGGTGGCTGATTTGCTGGTGTGTGACAAACAATGCTCAGTTATATAATGTGGGTCTGATATGGCATATCTCTGACACATTATGAGCTGTGTAATGTATTCTCGGGTGTTTGTGTTCTTTCGATCGTATGGATTCATTTATTAAAGTTAGAGGAGATGATGATGATGATGAACCAAGATAATGCCTAAATATCTCAAATATAAATGCAAAAGTCGGAGTGTGTGTGTGCTGGTGTGGATTTTACACTAGTCATCCCATGCAAAGATGAGACTACCTGGTGTTTTATGCTGCTCAACTCAGTGAGTATACCTCGGTGTGACCAGGAATAACCTAGTTCAGTGCACTACACCTAAGGGTTCAGCAGGGAACGCTGAGGGCCCAGTGAGTCTCTAATAGAGTATGAGTGTTGTGAATGAGGGTAATTATATGTAAGGAGGCAGGTTGTGGTGTTTAATGTTAATTAGCTTTAATGACTTTTTAAATCAAGGGTCATTGGTGGCAATCACATATTAAAAGGTCACACGTGGCTGCGGGGCTTCAGGTCGAAGGACCTCTGACATTACCTTCACACTGCAATAAAACCTTCCGAGCACAGGTCTTGGAATAAAAAGTAGAACACTCCTGACCTCTATTGACTGAAATGGGACCTGCAGGGGAATTATGTGATGTGATCTGCAGGAGGCACCCGCACACTGTACGACATGCCTCACCTTTGATATATTTACTGGCACTTTTTTTCTAATATTTTGCCCTCAGTGGAACAGCGCAGGCCGGGCTTGCACAAGCTTGAATGGGCTCGATAATGCACTGAGGCAAACTCCATAACACTCAGGCGGAGATGATAAGAAAGCACTAACTATGAAACAAGGTAATCTCAGGCATTGGTCTGATATGTCAAGGTGAAATTTTCGCATGTTGCCTTTGTTTTACGTGTTGTTTCAGAGATTCGGCCCACCCTTGAACTTCTGCTGTATTCTAGAGAAATACATGTATTGATACAAATAATATCACAAAGACATAATGCCCTCCTCCTGGCACCTCTAGTGCTGTTGAATAACCCAGCTTGAGCTACATATTGACTGTTCCCATGTAGTGATGCTTTTAAGTTTCTTGTGATGAGTCATCCGCTCAGATTCCTAGCTATGCAAGTCAGGCGAATTCACATGTGAAAAAAACTTAATCTCTTAGAGAGAAGTGTGGCAAGGTTTGGGTATCAGTATTTCATAAAATGCAGAAAAATCATTTTCTGGTAAAAATCTTGAGTTAGCATTTTATAGTACTTCACAATCTTTTCCATAATTTACTTGTTTTTCTTGCATCCTGACTTACAAATGTCACTTATTTTCCATTCCAAGCAATCAAACTAGTGTGGCTGATAACTTTTACTGATAATATTATTGTTAAAAAAGCCTGTTCGCACCAGGACCTCCATGTCTATCTTTCTTTCTCTTGCTGGAGACACTGACACACACACCTAAATCAGCTTGGCTTGGGCTTTCTTAGGCTTATCCTGTGCACTCAACATAGCAGAGAGAGGGTGAAGCGCCAGCGAGATACTCTATATTAAGACAGAGAGAATGAAAGGAGAAAAAGACCAAAATAAAATGCCACTGCCAGCCAAAAACGCAACTTACAGACTCCACATTGGCCATCTACATGCTGGAGCTCAGGTGTTGGCAACTTTCCTGTCGGTGCCGGCTCAGATGTAAAACTGTGACATTTTGATCGCTGCCTCTATTTTTAAGCACCGCACTCTCCGTCTACACATGTAGGTGTCTATTCATAGCTCACTGTACACTTTTCAGAGAACCTTTTATGTCTATTCATAGAACCTGATTTGAATAAGCAACAGTGATATGCATGTGCGTCTGAAATGTGTGAGGGCCGTGTCCCTCCCTCTATTTAAAACCCTGCTAATGAGACGGTTTCACAGAGACAGTGGAAAAATGGATGGAATGCTGTCCTGCAATGTTCGTGTGGCTTGTACCGGCACACCTGTAACACACACACACACAAACACACACACACACAAGGAAACCCTTTGCATTGACAAATCATTTCTTGCACTTGCTTGTGTAATAAGCCTATTTTATTCCCTGTGGCTGATACTACTTTCCCCAAAAAGGAATAAATTACACACGTAGTTTCCTGAACCTGAACCTGATTTACCTGAGAGGTCTGTTCAGTCACTAAACAGCAAACAAACAAAAGAGACAGGGACTAGATTTTAAAACAGGATTGTAACTTGCTGCCCTTAAACAGACACTGTGGTGGATTTTAATCTCCCAGCAATAAGGCCCACTCTTCTACACTGCTGTGAAAACTTAAAACACATCAATCCTCATGATGGTGACACTGAAACAGGCCTGCCCTGTTGCTGTAATGCTACTGTGCAATATATGACTTGATGGGTGACACCTACTGTAGTTTTCAGCGGGGAGTCGGTGAAGGGGCTCTATGTGCCCCTGGCAAGTCAAGCCGCCTTGGTCACACCCTTCCCAGCCTCCCCCATCCGCCTCCCACTCTGCCCGCCATGTTCTGGAGGAGGAGATACGTGTAGCCTGGCTTTAGCTGGCTTAGCATTAGCAACACATAGCTTGGCGGAGGCGCAACAAGCACCCCGAACGCCGAAATAAGTACTAAATCTTCATTTCCCCCCCTCTTGGAATTGGTGAAACTTGTTTATGGGTTTATATCCCTGGACTAACAGTAGTACCCGACGCAGCCCAAAGGATACGGTAAGTTCGCGTCGGTTTTCAAGACAGTGGAGTTGTTTTGTTTTCCCAGGGCGTCCTGTAATCCAGCTCGCTCCGGTGATGTCTCCACCGAGCACCCGTCTTGGCTGCTAGCTTGAAGGATCGCTAACTAGCTTAGCATGCTAGTTGGCTGTCTCAGCGCAGAAAATACGGTCGGAGGCTGACGGGAGTGGTTGTTTGTCTAGGTGTACGGCTGACTGTTAATCCAATACATGGGAGGTTGTCTATATCATTAAAACCCGAGTGGTCCATAGTTTAATTTCTAGCCGAGCCACGGGAGAGGGGAGACCCGCGGCTAGCTAAGCTAACGCAAGCGCTGCTAGCTTTGATCCAACTTTTTTTTTTTCAAAGCCAAGTTGTGATCCCGTTTTAATGACCGCTAGTCAGTGGTTGGATATCCGAGCGCGGGTATCCAAGTCTGCGCCAACGGAGTGAGACGGGCTGTGTAATGAAACAAACTTCAGTTGTTTTTGTGCACTTTTTCCAACCACCTGAGGTAACGAGCCACATCAACGTAAGCAAGTTAACGCTCGCTAGCTTATTCAGCGAGCTAACGCCAAGTACTTGTCGTAAGTTTGCGCTGAACCTGCTAACGTTAGCGGTAACCAGCGGCAGCGAGCAGGCTCGTCGGTCCTCCCGATGCGTTAAAGTGACGGTGCACAAACTTAGATCCCCGCCACACCCGACATTATTTCGCAATTCAAACAGGTCGTTTGACTTGAAAAAGCTGGAAATAGGATTGAGACAAAAAAAAAAATATCTTAGCTCAAGCTGCTTTAGCTTATGTGCTACCAGTGACATCAGTTCAAGGAAACGCCGTGATTTTCTTTTTGTGTGTGTGTGTTTGGTCAGAGCATCTTAATTCTGTTTATTTCCTCCCCCCGATGTGCCTTAGTGCTTAGTATCAGAGTACCCACAAGTTAAGATCGCACAGTTGTAAGTCTTAAAGGCAATACTTGACGTCCACATACTTGTTGAGATTTTGGGGGGGATTGTTCACGGTGTGGGCGCTGTCTGTTTACTCCCTCCGTTTGCAATCGGCTAACCCGACTGCTCGGTAGGTTCGCCTAAAACCTTTGCTGAAAGACGCTGAACGGGGCCAGGCTTTCTTTATTTCACGGGGCACGGTCGGAGATGTTGGTGTTTCGACGTGAGCTCTTTATTCCGAGCCCGTACAAACGTGGCCCGGGAGAGGGGCAGGGCTTTGTCTATTGTCAGGGTGGTCACTCAGTCACAGTGGGTGACAGATGCATCATCACCGTCCTCCTCCCTTTGCCTGACTTGGCTTTGTCTCCCGGCCCGGCCAGGGAGGACAAAAGGCGGTGTGAAATGTGTCGAGCGAGAAGGTGGCCTCTCTTCCTCTCTTTTCCTCCCTTCTTTAGGCTTCAACCGCTCACTTCATCATGCCCCCCCTGCCATAGATTGACAGTCACTTTAGGGATTTTGGAACATGTGTTGGTGGTTTGATTTTCTTCGGGTTAGACTTGAAGCGATTGTTAGTTTGGCTTGTAGGACCTTAATCCTCAGGCAGCTGAGTGGTTTAGGATTAATGACCGGCACAAGTTGCTGGTGAACAGGAAAGAAGTAAACGGGCGACGAAGGAATCGGCTGGTTAACTTAATGTCACCCCATTGCACACTCACCCCCGTCTCTCTCTCTCTTTAACTGTCACACACTCGTACACAGGCAAGTTGTGCAAGCCTTCTATCTCCAGATCAGCTTTACTCTTGCTGTGTGGGCCTGGCAAGGAAGACCTGTTCTCACTGTACTGCTTCTCAACCCTTAATGCTGATCACAGTTTGCTAAGGTTTTGCCAAGACACACCCAGACACTGGCCCACGCAGGATAGGTTTGGCTCGCTTCCTTCTTGCATCGGACGGTTCACCTGCGTCCGGCGTTCACCTAAAGAAAAAACCAAAAGAGATGGACATGTACTGTCGTAATGGGCCGTTGAACTCTGGGTAATTCCTGTTAGTCGTGGCATTGTTTCACACACTGCCTAAAGGTCGGTAGGGGAGTCTAGTTTTGACATTGTCATATAATCAAAATGATCAACATTAGTTTGCTGTGAGGTTCACGCGCGGGTCACTCGTTCACCACGCCGCGAGGTTTCAGTGTGTTAACCAAGTGCGATGGGGCATTTCCCATGGCAAGCTTTATATTGCTGATGCAATCTGTCAAAAATGCAGAGATCCGCCCCGGCAACAGTCCTGCAGATTGGGTCTTGTCGTCCCCTGTAGATGCCTCTGCCGTAGAAACTGATTTACAGTTCAGCAAGGGAGTTTCACCTGTTGATGAGCACCACCACGAGACAAGATGGACGTGTTGTCATGCATTCTTTATATACTCGAAATAATTGCGGTAGATTCTTTTATTCACTGGACAACAGTGAGTGACTATTGCTGCTAGATATCACTGTGAGCGCCTTATTGTTTGTCCTGTAAATGTAAGTTTTCTGCAGACGTTTTGCAGTGATGCTCCACATGCTGTTTTTCTGCAGCTATCAGATTTCATTGTAGCAGTTTTTGGGTCTCGGCTGAATGCAGCTCCGTGTAAGTCACAGATATGATTCAGATTGTATCAGTGTATTCACCATTATCTTCTTTGTTTTAGGGCCGCCCCTGACTGAATATTATCCTAGTCGACTAGTAGTCATTAGTTCAACTCATTAGTCGTCTAGTCGTCAGATATTTATGATATTCATTTAATTGCTGTAAATATGCAGTTTAACATGGCGTTTTTCTACTGTAACCCTGGAAAAACTGATAAGACTGGGCTGACTTTCTGTCAAATACAGAAGGACAGACAGACAAGAAGACGTCCCTCGACTAAATGAATTTTATGGTCATTCTCCTATAGCAACAACATGGCGTGATGGCAGTGTGACAAGAATGACAGGCTCAGTCATTCAGACATAATGAACCTGCATCGGCACACGAATGCGTTTTCCCACACCCACACACACACACACAAAAGTCCTGTGTGCCGTCTCTTCTGGGCCTTAGGACTCGAATGATCTGAGCACAGAAGGGCTGAAGGAAGGCGGGCCAGCGGTGTCTTCTGGTGGGGGTTGTTCCGGGGTTCAGAGGGGGGGTGGGTCGGACAAGACAGACTCTCCTCTCTTCTTCCTGTCTGCCGTGGGTGAATAGGTGATTATAGCAGCAGATGTGTCATTAGGTCTGAGCCGTATTCATGCGGATGCAGGGTGAGGAGGGAACGTTTTGGGGGGGCATGCCACACAGGAATCACATTTCACTGGTGTTAAGTGAATTTACGGGATGTGCCAAGTTGTTTTCTTACCCCCTTTTCTTTTTCCCCTCCCTCCCGAAGCCACCACCAACACCTTCCCCTCCTCGTTTCCTCAGCCTCACCCGCCCCCCCCCCAGCTGTCTTTCCGTGGCATTGCTGGGCAGGAGGGTCCCCGAAACAAACACAAACATACACACATATATAAATAAATGTACACTTACGCTTACTTTTATCACTCTGCTTCTGTTCATGAAAGCACTTGTTTGCAGGACAAGTCAAAGCACGCTTGGTGCAGGGATCACATTACTGAATAGGAGAAGTCATCAAGGGTCTCCCTCAATGCTAGTCAGAGGAACAGTGGCCATGACAGGGACTCAGCAAACGCAGGCTGATTTATTACTGAGAGGAATAATTTAAATGAGATTTGGCAAGTTTGCTGTCAGTGTGAACGTGCGTAACTGCTGAACTGTGCAAATACGATAAGACTGTCTGAGTTCAAACTATTGCAATATTGTATTTCAGCAAAATAGATTTCTCTTTCCAAGCAGCCCAATCGCATTAACACAAAGACCCTCCTTGGTCAAAAGAAGATGCAATTATAGTAAATGTGCAGCTCATAGCTTCACGGTACTCACCAAACAAGGTGTTTTTGTTTGCGTATGGAACTTTTGCTGTGTACGTCGCACAGCTGAGTCCACACAGTTTCCATCCTTGTGTGTGTCAGTCAGGAAGTGATTAGTAGCCGGGCTGCTGATCTGTCAGAAACAGGACAGAGGAGTCATAAGTTACTCCTCCAGTCATAATCAGACTGGAAATGCTTTATCTCCCCTGCCACCCACCAAAGGGTGGAAACACATTTTTACTCAGTCACTGCTATCTCTCATAACAATACACTGAATGTTAACACTGTGGTCGGTGGGAAAGAGCGTTGACAAATCACAAAGCAGCTATTGCTTCTGTGTCTGCTTTGATGACGATTTCCCTCATGTTTCTGTGGACTAACTCCACTTTCACACGATTGAAATAATGCGTTTGATTTTAGAGGAATACATAACTGGTGCGTTGGAAGAATAATGTATTCGGTAAACCTGCAGCCACGCAGTATTTGTGTTAGCATTTGATTGTACAGGTGTATTGAATAAACTGGTTTTGTTATGAAGAAAGAGGACATATTTGTCTCAGTAACTAGAGAACCGTGTCTTGGCAGAGTTTTTTTTCTCTACATCCATTATTATGATAAGAGAGTTGTGTACGTCTCCTTTAAATTGTTTGTGGAATGTTTTGTGTTTTCTACTCAAATTTATTGTCCCCAAAGCCCACCCAGTTTCCGACTTTACCATCACACAGGCCTGAATGCCCTGAAATTATTGATTTTTCAGCACTCTGCCATGTTTGCAATTGAGTCAGGTTACTGTAAACTGGAGTTAGTTACAAAAGTGGAACCACAATTCTTGGCCACAACCCCCTGGCCTTGTGTAATATGAAGGAGGCAGATACTCTGCAAGTGCATGGAAATTGCTTATGTAAGTGTGAAAGTATGAAACACTGTTTTGTCTAGTTTCACAGGGGAAGGCAGTGCAGTTGCCCCTATAAATACAACTTATCTTCACGATCTTCCCCTTTAGGTGTAGAAAATGGGATTATGGTGACACCGTTAACAAAGAAACTAAGATTAGACGGATGACTTTACCAGATGTTTCGTTTTTTTCAGTGTGTCTCTAATACAAGGTAGGTTGAATATTTAGGGAAGGGGAATTTCATTAGTTGGGGACTGTTGGCATACAACATGACTCTTTAGTTTGAGAGAAACATGAAGGTGTCATGTGGTGTAGTGCTAAAATGAATACTAAGCTGTTAGCGCATTACTCAGAAACTCATTCTAACAAGGAAATGTTGTAATGTTTGCTATTTTAGTTTGGCTGAATGTAGCTATTTTCTACTGCCGCCCTCTACTACCTTTCTTAAATGTCTTTATGTTCCCCCTCGTCCTTCCACTAACCTGTGATCTCTCTGTCTGTCCTAGGTGATGGCGTGGTCATGTGTGCAGCCAGCACTGTGTGTGTGGAGATGGTTTTAACAGACGCTGTTCTGGAGGACTCAGGAACACTGCACTGGCCTGGAGAAGCCTCATAAACAAACACACGCGTACACAACACACACACACATACACACCTGTACACAAGAAGAAGAGTTACACACACACACACACACACACACACGCCACCGCCGTGCCTTGAGAAAGGACACAGGTGCACGGACACGTAACGCAAGCTTCAGCTGAAGCACACGCGCACACACACACACATTGACACCCAGTGTGTCTGTTAGCTTTCAAACATCACTGGTGTTTAGCGCCTCTCCTGCGTGAGAGTGCACATTGTATTTCTTCCTGTCTGTCTCCATCTCCACCGCCACCATGCCAAGCTCCACCATCCGCCGGCAGATGAAGAACATGGTGAACAACTACTCTGACGCAGAGAAGAAGGTCAGAGAGGCCACTTCCAACGACCCCTGGGGCCCATCGTCGTCCCTCATGTCCGAGATCGCCGACCTCACCTACAACGTGGTGGCCTTCAGCGAGATCATGAGCATGATCTGGAAAAGGCTCAACGACCACGGCAAGAACTGGCGCCACGTCTACAAGGCGCTCACCCTGCTCGACTACCTGATCAAGACGGGCTCAGAGCGAGTGGCGCTGCAATGCAAAGAAAACATCTTCGCCATCCAGACTCTGAAGGACTTCCAGTACATTGACAGAGACGGCAAAGACCAGGGCATCAACGTGAGGGAGAAGAGCAAGCAGCTAGTGGTCCTACTGAAAGACGAGGAACGCCTCAAAGGAGAGAGGTAAGGGCTCTCTAAATTCATTTTGAACAGATAACAATAGTTGAAAATCTCCGGCGTCAACTTGTGTTTATGCAAAGATGTTTATGGAGTTATTTTGTGGTTCACATTTATTGCTGAAACACTGGTCTGTCCTTGAGTTTAATATACTGTGTGTCTAATATACTAGGGCTTGTGCCCAGCTCTTTCTGTGGGGTTGGAGCTGTCACAATGATAGAATACCCTCCCCAAATGGGACTGTGCACTTGTCCTTCTGCTCTAAATGGGCCCTGCTGAAAGACAGTGATTTGAACCGTCAAATAATAGCATCATAATTCAGCTTTTGTTAGTGCAGTTGCAAGCGGCTGCTGTTTCTTTTAACCATCTCCAACCTATTCCCATACACTAGTTGGGACTGTGCCAGTATTTTGATAATTATGTGGCTGATAGTCATCAACACTTGATTGTAAAACAAATTCAGACTCCAATCACATCCTCAGAAACGGGCTTTTACCATGGGTTTCCCCCTCAGAGTATCACACTGTGTTTACTCCCCCCTTGAGCCTGGGCTACCTTTTAGTGCTTATTGTGTTTCCACAGCTGTTAGTTCTAAACTAAGATTGGTCTGGAGGAAGTCATGCTACTCCATGCCTCTTCTCTCTTTGTCGTTCACAGTGGATCTCCACCACTGTTAAGAAACCACGTTACTGCACTTGAAAAGTGGCCATAGAGTTGATGCATTTCCCAGCTTAACCGTATGAAGCAAACACCAATCTGGACGCACCTCAGTGATTCTCTGTGACTGTACTTGAACATATCGCTGAGTGACCGAATGTAGAAGATGACACATGCGCTGCTCTCCTACTCCTATGTCATTAGTTTGATTATTTGTTCATCCATCTGTCTTTTTATAACACACAGTATCTTAGACACACATTTTGGCAAATATCAGGGCATTGAATCATTTCCAGAATTATACTAATTGGCCCAAGGGGGGACACTTCATCATTTGTTTGGCAGCATGTTTGATTCTAATTAATGATTTTACCGTGGCATTTAGAGTGGAAGCCTCTTGAAACCCTGATTCTCAGGACGGTTTTAGTAAAGAAACTTACTATTTTTTGTTCTCGGGCCCCAAAGACCAATTATTCTTTTGTACTGTATGCCTATTTTGTCCTTTTGCAAGTCGCACTAAGGATTATAAGAATCTTAACTTGAGTCAAGAGGATTGATCATGTGCTGTTATGTTTTTTTTGTCCTTCCAGGTCTCAAGCTTTGAAGACCAAAGAGCGTATGGCCCAGGTGTCCACAGGGAGCAGTCAGATGGGTTTTGGCCGAGGCTCATCTCAGCCCAACCTCTCCACTTCCTACAGCGAAGAGTACGGCAGATCAGAGGGCTCACCTGCCTCCTACCATGGCTGTGAGTATTTGCTTCTCGTAACACCATCACACACACACACTTACGGGGCTTGTTCCGTATGTTTAAGCGACACACGCCATACAGAATATTCCATTATACTGTATTTGTGTCCCAGTTGGTGTAACGTTGGCCTACATCCTGAAACCTGCCCCTCCCCCTGTTCTGTCTTTGGCTTGCAGTCCCGCAGTAGGGCTGCATTCCTTAGCGCACACACACACACACACCAAACACACACACACACACACCACACACACAGAGGAAGCAGATTTTGCCCCCCCCCTCCATCCAGCCCCTATCATCCACATGACAGAGGAATCTGCTCCTCTTTTCAATGATACACAGCGAGGGAGAGATGTGGAAACAAGCAGTGACACAGTGCAACAAGAGGGACGTGGATATATGACGATAGCACTGAGATACTTGATGGAAAGAAAAATGTAATCCAGGCGGATTACCGTGAAACTAGAGAAGAAATGTGTGTTTTGTTAATGAAGTATGCGCACTATTTCATGTGTGTATTAGTAAAGTAGGAATATAGTTATGCTCGTCTAGCTTATTTCCTACAGATGCATGTTACTACTGCCTTCTGTATTTAGCATGCTGCACTGATTAGTCTGATAGCTTCAAAAAGATATGTTCATCATGTCAAGCTGGGAATAAAATCACATTTATATTTCATTAAGTACAATTTAGGGGATCCTCATACTTGGTAATATATTTGGTGCAAAGTCACCACTGCGCTTGTTTTTCTGTACTTGAATTTAGTACTCATTTCTTCTAGTTTCTTCTAACAGAGAATATAAAAGCAGTGTTCGTATGGACTGATAGAAAGAGAGAGGGGTTGAGCTAAGAAGAAACAGAAATCCCAGTCAGGAAATGGGGTAACACAGAGAAGGACAGAGGGGAAGAATGGAGAAGTTTAAATGAAAGAATGAACCATGGCCTCTTTTCCTTTCATCCTCCGACCCCTCCAGTCCTTTGTACGCAGCAGGATGTGTGTGTGTGTGTATCCCAGTCAGGAAATTGGGTAACACGAGAGGACAGAGGGGAAGAATGGAGAAGTTTTTAAATGAAAGAATTGACCATGGCCCTTTTCCTTTCACCTCCGACCCCTCCAGCCTTTGTACGCAGCAAGGATGTGTTTGTGGTGTTGTGTGTGTTGTGTGTGGTTGTGTCCGT